ACTCTTTCAGTCCATTTTTAACCACACCAGTGAGAATCAAAGTTTTCAATTTTTCCAATGGCAATTTCTCCACACCAGAAGATGATTCTCAAAAGAATAAATCATTTCAGTTTTTCTTGCTCTCAAAATGTTTTATCCAATCCTGTATTTCTTACAGGCTTTTGAAACACGTAGAAAATAAGTAAGAAATATTCCAATGAATGAAACATACCAAATGTCAGTGATAAGCAAGACACATTCCTTTGGGGAAATGGCTATTAAAAAACAAAACAAAACAAAAATCCAGTCTGTAAGCAAGGAAATTCAGTCTTTTTTTTTTTTTAAATCCATTTTTCCTAAAATATTTCACAAAATTGGAGGTGAAGGACTAAAAGATCAGGAGAAGAAAGGAGGGTGGGGCACACACACCATCAACACAAAAAGGAGTAAAAGTGTACACACGTAAGCAGTTTTTAACAGATTAGGCTCATACTCCAAGATACCAAAAGCTGGTTGAAGAAATTCACTCTTCTGCAGGAACTAGGGTTTGTACTGCTGTATGATGACCAGTATGGAGGGATTGATTCACTGCCTTGGAGCAACGCCTCTTCCCACTCCAAATCCTGGTTTCTGCACCATGCCTCCATGAAGAGGGCCTCATTCCACCACCCAGCCCACCTCGAGGGCCTTCCAGTCCCCGCAGGCGGTTATCTCGAGGGTCCCATTCCCTGGTGGCTCGAGTCTTCTTCTCTTCCACATTCAGACAGACTTCATCTCTGAACATGATAGGCCTGTTACTAAGAACTTTCTGAACAGGTTCAGAGTCATCAAACACAACAAACCCAAAATTGGGTAGTTTCCCACCACTGTTAACGCACAGCTCCACCACATTTCCATAGTTTTGGAAGAAGTCTTAAAGCTCTGATTCATCCACTTCAGGAGGCAGGTTGCCAATAAAGAGTTGGTGACTGTCAGGGTGTCTCGCAATTCTTCGAGGGTCAACATCACCTTGCTCACCAGCCTCACGAATTGGTCTAGGGCCCCGCTGTGGAGGAATAGTTATTCATTGTCCTCACACTCTTCGATGCCTCTGAGGTCTCTGCGGTGGAATCTGAGATTCAGACTTAGACTCTGGACGGGGCTGTGAAGTTGGAACTTTAACAACATGAGGTGGGATCCCAGTAACGAGAACAGCTCCAGTAGAAGGAAGATTCTTACTAGTCACAGATGCCCAAGAAAATGTCATCAAGTCTTCCTATGCCGTCTGAGCTATCTGCAGGTGCTGGGGACCCCTCTGCTGAGTCTCCTCAGGAGCACTGTGTTCTAATACTGGCTCTGACTTCTCTTAGGTTTCAGATACAGGTTCTTACTCTGGTTCTGGTTCCAGATCAGGCTCTGGTTCTGCAACAGGTTCCTCTAAATGTTCTTCTAAGTCATTGCTGACAGTCTGATCATAGACAGTTTCAGCATCATCGGGTACCACCTCTGGTGTCTGCTGTCTTTCCTCAGGCTCCTCTACTTCTTCCTCAGGTTCCTCCTGAGGCTCAGTGACAAAGCCACCAAAGACTTCATCTTGGTATCTGAAGATATCATTATGAAAATAAAACTTATTTGTAACAGAGCCTTCAGGAGCAAGGAAAAATGTCTGCATAAATCTTCACAAGGCTTGGTTGTTTTTAGGGAGCAACCCCATCAACTGGACCACCACACCATCGTTTAGAGTAGCATGAGCATCAACATGGCGAATCTTAGTGTGGCAGTTGGTAAAGTTTTGTAACATCACTTTCCTATGGATTTATTTTTGTCCATAGATTGCATCTACTGGTTTTCCATTTGAATGCAATTCTCCATGGACATAAGAAAAGTTCTTACCATAAAATCTATGCAGCATGTCTGGGGCCTGGTTCAGCAGTGTCTAGTTGTTGTTGTGTGCCATGGAGTCAGTTCCGACTCACAGCGACCCCTGTACAGGGTTTCCGAGGCTGCCTCACAAATTCCCACCTGACCAGCAGGGGACTAGTCTTCTCTATAACCATTGCTTTGGTCTATTCAACCTGTACTTCTGATCAGGAGAGGAACGGGTTTTGCTTCACAACAAGGCGGATGGCAGAGAACCCTGATGCAATTGCGTCTGCTCAGAGTCTCTCTTGACATCCACTTTGGTCTTTCCTTTATTTCCTGTCTTTCTCATTTTGAATTCTTCATGAATGATGCTCTTGATGTCATCCCACAAGTATTCTGGTCTTTGGTTATGAGTGTCTAGTGCATTAAATCTATTCCTATAATGCGCTCTAAATTTAGGTGGAATATACTCAAGCTCATATTTTGGCTCTAGTGGACTTGTTTGAATTTTCCTGTTTTCGTCTGAATTTCATATGCGTAATTGATGGTCTGTTCCACAGTTGGTCCCTAAACTTATTTTGGCTGATGATATTGAGCTTCTCCATGGTCTCTTCCCACAGGTGTAGTCAATTCTGTTCTTATGTATCCCATCTGGAGAGGTCCAGATGTATAAGTTGTTGGTCTTGCAAAAGTCTTTTAAATGATCTCCAGCATTGTGTTTATCACCAATATCTTATTTTCCAACTACCGATCCTTCTTCTTTGTTTCCAATGTTTGTATTACAATGACCAGTAATTATCAATTATGCATCTTAATTGCATGTTTGACCAGATTCAGCCTGAAGAAGTGGTAAAATTCTTTAATTTCATCATCACTGGCTTTATTTATGGTTGGTGCATAAATCTGAATAATAGTGGTATTAACTGGTCTTCCTCGTAGGCTTATGGATATAATCCTAGCACATACAACGTTGTAATTCAAGATAGATCCTGAAGTGTTCTTTATGATGATGAATGCGGTGCCATTCCTCTTCAGTATGTTGTTCCTGGCATATTAAATCAAGACTGATTCAAAATAACCAGTGCCAATCCATTTCCACTCACTAATGCCTAGGATATCAATCTTTATGCATTCCATTTCATTTTTGACAACTTTCAGTTTTCCTAGATTCACACTTTGTATATTCCATGTTCCAATTGTTAATGGATGTTTGCAGCCTCTCACTTTGAGTTGTGTCACATCAGCAAATGAAGGTCCCAAAAGTTTAACTTCATCCACATCATTAAGGTCAACTCTCCTTTGAGGTGGCAGCTCATCCCTGGTGTCTTTTGAGTGACTTTAAACCTGAGGGGTTCATCTTCAGCATTATATCTGACAATGTTCCACTGCTATACATTAGATTTTCAGTGTCTAAGCATTCAGAAGTGGTCCACTTCTCCTTCTTCCTAGTCTGTATTAGTCTGGAAGGTCTGCTGAAGCCTGTTCATCATGGGTAACCCTGCTAGCATTTAAAATACTGGCAGTATTGCATCCTGCATCACAGCAACACACAGACCACCACAGTATGACAAACTGATAGATGAGTGGTGGGGTTCTTTCTGGTGTTCCACAATACTCCATGGCAGCCTGTACAGTGTGAGTCTGAGGTAAAAAACTAATAACTGTTCTTCTCAGTTTAAGATTCTTTATACCTTGATTTTTCTAAGTGTCAAAGATAACTATGAAATCAAGTTAATTGTTAGGGGGGATAAAATACCCAAATTATGTACTACTCAATTAACAATTTTGGATAAATATTAAATATCTAATATATATATATATGGAGCTCTGGTAGCATAGTGGTTACGAATCGGGCTGCAAACCGCCTCGGAAACCCTATACAGGGTCGCTATGAGTCAGAACTGACTCCACGGCACATAACAACAACAACAACATATATATTCTGGAGTCCTGGTGTGGCTTTGCAGTCTGGCGCATTAACCCACAGCGCCACACTGGGATTCCTCCTTTAAGGTGAGAAAGACATTAATGATTTATAACCATTTGGTTTAGTTGTTCCCAGCAAAGTGCCTGTGGGTGGTGTTGAGATGATGGAGACAAGCTTCCATAGGCAACCCTTCAAAATCAATCTAGAGAACAAACAGAATAGCAACTACATTCTAACCTCACATCTACCACAGCCCTAACCTGATTGGCTAGAGAGATTCCACTGCTCGTTCAAAGACTTGCGTTGTTCATTTGAAAATGAAATCTGATATCCTGTACGTCTTGGTGGACTTATCCAATGGTGGACTAGAGGGGCATTCCTGGAGTCCCCGTGACTGGAAGATAATGTGAATAGCCAAGACAAGATTCTCCCAGTAGTGAGAGTAGTGAGAGTAGTCCAGTATCATGACTCGAAATGGGGGCAGGAGGAGCTCAGTGACAGAATTCTCACCTTCCATATGGGAGACCTGGGTTCAATTCCCAGTCAATGTAACTCAAACATAGCCACCACCTCTCTGTCAGTGGAGACTTTCACATTGCTATGATGCTGGACACATTTCAAATGAGCTTCTAGACTAACACAGACTAGGAAAAAAGGCCTGGGGAGCTACTTCTGAAAAAAAATCAGCCAGTGAACAACCCTATGATCACAACAGTCCCACTCCATTGGGCATGGGGTCACCATGAGTCAGGGACCATCTTGACAGCAGTAGCAGCTAACAACAATAGCATGCCTCACAATGACAAATACCAGTCACCAAAGCCAGACCAGGGTAAGAATGGGAACAGCTTTTCCGGACAGTTCTATAGTTCTATTTAGGACTGGCATTCAAAGAAAGACACCTGCCTTTTTAAAGGATGATTTGGCTGCTCTTTAATACATCAACCATGACTTTGGCCTTCATGTTTGACCCTTTCCATATCCGAGTCCTTCCACACAATTGTGTTCAATTATGTTGAAGGATCGACTTGTTCACCAGGACAGCTATAATGTGTCTGGCAATGATAATCTAATTTGATTCATTCCTCTCACCTACCCCAAAAGATAGGTGAGGGCATAGATTCTAACTAAATTAACAGGCTGGCAACAGGATAATTAGTCACAATGTTTGAACTGGCTTATTACTGCCTGCTGGAGCATTCACAATGGAAGCAATTTTCTTAAGTACACATTCAAGGCAAACGAGGGTCACCTGGTGTGGATGTAACTGTTGAGAGTTAGCTGAGCCTCGTCTTGAAGAGCTGCGATGGCGGCAGCATTCCGGAAACTTCTCAGTTCAGAACCACTGTGTGTAGGAACTAGAAATGAAGACCAGGAAACTGTGATATGCAGCACAGGGACTAAAAGCAGGGAAAGTACCTCTCTGGCAGTGGATGGCTAGCCAGGAGAACATGCAGGTCCGCACAGGTTCTGGAAACGGTTAACTAGCAGAGTCAGCATCCTTGAAAACCAGTCTGGACTTTGAGGGGCTGAATTAATGCAGTGGCAAAATTGGGGAGAGGGAAGAGGCTGGGTGTGTAACTGCTTACCAGCTTTGAAAGTGACGATGCATTTTAGACAGGCAAACTCAGTAGCATCTAAGCGAAGTTGTCTAAATCGAGCGACCACCTCTTGTAAAGCCTGTATTTCGGATATGATCTTGTTCAGCTTCTGGGAATCTGTGTTGTCACCATTCATGCCTAGAATAAAAATATGGAATAAATGCTCTAATATGAAGGCATTTTCATGATTTAATATTGATTTTTGACAAAATTCTGCATATCAATATCTATTCAATTGTCACTCTAAGATATCTGATTCCATGTAAACTGGCTATATTGTATGAAAGTTAATATAAAATCTTCTCTTGGATGATAACAAACACAGTAATTTGCATTTAAATAACAATGCAAGCAGTCATGAATGCAACAAAACAACATTATTTGCATTTAAATATAGATTTATAAATGACAGGTATACTCTATTGTTCAGCAGGAATTTGTTATTCTTTACATGTTGTTCTTTTTTCAGTAATGTATTTTTATGGTAATTTCTACAACAAAGTCATTAAATTGTGCAATTCTTACCAGATACAGCCAGTAGAGTGTTAGCATCAACCGGAATGGCCCATTGTGCTATTCCTAGAACAAACAGTTCTCTCCAAGCATCTTCCAAAAGCATCAGCTGTCATACAATAGATGTATAATATAATATAGCGTGTAATTTATAAATTTATAAACAATTTCAGTATGTAAATTTCCATTATTTAAAAAAGTGTTTTAAATGCCTGTCTTAGTAAAAAAAACAACAAAAAAAAATAACTCCCCAACAACAACTGAATATTGTCGCTTTTCCTTTATCTTTTTGAAAGGTGCCTATAGATAAACACATCCGTTTGAGAATCAGCCATTTCAATTTCCCAAAGTTTGCTCTCCTCAGGACAGGGCTCCTCCTTCTTGTCCTTGTATCCACTCATTACTGACCACATAGAAACTTCACCAGAGACCCTAGCTCTATGAAATGCCACCAGCAGCACAGCAGATGGACCCCCTCATATAAAATGTGTTATCAGGGTGGAGGATTCCTGACTAAGCCTGCAGAGCTGGGCCCCCATCTTCCTTGAGGGATAAGGGGGTTTGGGCTGGAAGAAAGAGAGAAAGAGAGAGAGAGAGAGAGAGAGAGAGAGAGAGATCACTAATTCCCAAGAGGCATGGGGGGTGGTGTGCGGAAATCAGGGTGTAATTATGTTAATGGAGTTTAGCTGAGTTTACCTCATCTCACTGCCTGATTTTTCTGAGAATCATAAGTGGACAGCATCAAGGTGCTTGTCATATTCATTCTAATAAAATGTGCTACTGAATATTTAAAATTAAAATCTGGTTCCTTTTCCAAATTAAGATACTGGGTCCCATTTCACTGCAGTTTGCTTGTTTTTGAAGGGTTTTAAAGGTCTAAATGACAGATAGTAAATAAATTTTTGTTTGGATAAACGAGTCTACAATACTTGTTTTAAGGGGAAAAAAGCTAGTTTTCACACACATACATACACACTCACAGGCATACAACAAATGGTTAAATTCAACCAGTAAATCTGGCAACAGATACACATAACCACCTTAAAAAAAAAAAATCTCCATTTTTGAGAAATCCTTCAAAGATCAGCCAATTCTGGATAATCTATGTGAAAAGATTTTGTTTGGGGGGTAAAGACCTGAATTATGAAGGCTTGTAACCAAAATTACAATTAGGTTTAGTTTTCAAAATGCTTTATTTTTAGTTTGTTTTCAAATTAGGTACAGGAAATAATACTTTTTAAATTCTAAGTGAAAAATTATCTAACTTTGGCTATCTCTAAAATTCCAGGTCTTGGAAAAAAAAAAAAAAAAAAGAAGATCCCATGCTGGAAGATTAAATGTTTTTAGCACATTGTCAGCTTTCTCTGTAGGAAATGTACTTCAGATTAAGGGGCATTATTATGTCTTAATTAGGTATGAAATGAATTAAAGAAACAAACCCTCTGCTTTTAGAACTACTTATCAGCCTTTTGTAGAATTTGTCCTTAATTTCAGTGAATGTGCAAGATAACAACCAATGGTTTGCGAACACCTCATTTTCTTTCTTTCCTTTCAGGTTAGAAAAATGCTGACAAGGCTGCTATCTCTAATGATTTCTGATATTCCTAACAACAAACTTTCTGGGTTTGGGTATGATACAATTTTTAGTGGCACATGCTTTTCTTCCCTCTGACTGTTATTTAGAACTAAAGAATTCTGCAAAATGCACATTTGTTTATAAAATCTCTAAAGAACTTAAAGAACAACAACAACAGAATGGACCCTAGCCCCAAGAAATAGGTAATGCACCTTCCAAAACTGAGGATCAAGATGAAAAATGTAAAGCTGTAAATATAAAATAATCAGACTAGTTGCAAATATCTCATAGGAGAATACGCTCATCACCTTATTTTTTTTTAAGTTCAAGTGTTCTTAAGCATTGCTTTATCAATTAAAATTTTATTCAGATACAATTTTTGAGATTGAATTTGCTGTTTTAATTAAACTCAAATAAATGTATATATATATATATATATATATATACACATATTTATGATAAATGTTCCTTTATGTTTTTTGCAGACCAGATTCAGTTTTCCTGAAATAGGATAAATACATATCTTACTAAAGATCCCATAGTTATATATTTTGAACCCATAGAAATAAGCTAGTAAAGATAGTTTCTTCGTCGCTGTCGACAACTGGTGATTTGTATCCTGGTACGCCGTTCTCCAGGAGAAAGATGAGGCTTTCTGCTCCCATAAAGATTTACAGCCTCAGAAACCCTGTACAGGGTCACTACGAGTTGGAACTCCATGGTACTTAACAACAACAACCTTCCAGTTTTATAAGATTGATTACTGTTGCTTTTTTTCCCAACCACCCCTCCTTCCCCAAGACCTAAGTGTCTACTCAGCTGTACCTGATCTTGCAAAGACAGCGTGGAGAAAGCTGGTACACTCTTGGCCCACTTGATACTCATAAAGAGAAGCCTGGCAGCTGATTCGCACACAGATTCCGTGGCCACCTCATAGAGATACATTGGGGTCCCATTCACTTCATGGGGGTACTGGAGGGGGGGGGACAAAAAGACACTTGGAAGTGAGAAAACCAGTTTTGCCAGAAAAGCCAACTTCAAAGTTTTCTAATTAAAACAACGAAGGAAATAAAAGGAATTCCAGTGTTCTGTTTAAATGTACATTTGCCATTTGTGAATAAAAAACAAACATCTCTATCTATACAGCTTGAGAAATAAAAATGGCTGGGTGAGGCCCACTTCCACTCTTTGGGGGCCTGTTCCTTTGAGAGAGGGGCATTTAGATTTCTTATCCCCTGTAAAAAAAATTTCCCTCAGGCTGAGCCAAGTGCCAGGCCTAGCTCCCAATATAGACAAGAGCTGCTTGTATTTGTGTAAATAAAAATAGATGTGAAAAAAGTATAAATTAATAGGCATCCCAAACACAAATATGCATATGAGTATTTTTAGAAAGGATTAGTATATTATGGAAATATTTCAATTAGACATCTTAATCATTCACAGAGCATTCCCATTCATAACTGACAACATATTCATAACACTACTTTCCCGAGCTTATTATACACATCAAGGGTAAGAAAGCAATATTAAATATTGTGTGTGTGTCTGTGCCCAGGTGTTTGGCTTCCCTGCAGTGTGGGGCTGCAGCTGGTCCTTCTATGGGGGAGATCCTAGGCCTTTCTCACTCGGCCTGGAGTGAGGAGGAGTGGCCATGGGTGGGTACCAGCAGGAGGTGTGAAGGACAGTCCCTAGGTGGCAGCCTTTGGAAGGGGTTCAGGCATTGGTCCTAACACTAAGTAAGCACTCAATCCTGGTGTAAACAAATCCAAGTAGTTCATCAGAGAGTGAAAGATGAGTGAAAAATCAAGCTAAGGTCCTTCAAACTGCCCTAACAGTGTTCCATATTTCTCTCTTGCTTTAGGGACCTACAGCTTTGCTGTCTGCAACTCAAGGATCCTCTTGGCTAGCAGCGGTCAGCTCTTGTTCCTGAAAACAAAAGTCTATTCTTCTGGCCTCCAGGAACACATAAGGCTGCCTTCTCCATTTAGACAGGGTTCTACCAGTCACCCACTTACCCAAGGGTGTTTTCTAAAGTTGCAGGTTTCTGGGCCACACTTCTATCTAACTTGCTGAAGCAGGAATTCTGAGGAGGGGGTTCAGGAGTCCACATGTGTAGCCAGCTCAGGGAGTGATTCTCCCTAATTAAAGTTTGAGCACCCCTGGCTTAACAGGGGACAGCGGAGGTGTAGAGCTTCCTGCAGAGACCCAAAGTACTGGAAAAGACCTGTCCAGCTTTGCCAGACCCCATCCCAGTTCAAGTATGTGGATGAAGCCCTCTCCTTCCTCTGCTCGGTATGAGTCTCCTTGGGCCTAGTAAGGCCACTGACCTTGGGTGTGGGCTGAGCCAGGCTCACGAGGGTCTGCCGCTCAGGGGTGGTGGACACAGCGGCCAGCTCCAGGCCGTGAGGTTCCAGCTGTGTGACCGCAGTGAAGAAGGCTGGTGTTGGTAGCGCAGCTGAGGGGAAGTGCGCGGTCGCTCCGTTTTCCTCCTTGTGCCCGCGGAAGTAGAGGGCCACTTGCTTGCGAATGGTGGACGTCCGAGGACCCCGCTCGTGCTGCACAGCTGCAAAGACAGAAGGACAGACGCATGCATGCCCAGAATCAGACACGCGTTGACAGCTGCGACCGAGAATTTGTGAGAGCGGAAGGCTGAGAACAAGAGGAGGCACGCGTGCCCAACGCCCCATGATAATGGTCGGCGGAGCCACGAGCAAGACTTTGTCTATCCAGGGTTCCACCCCATCCATAGCAGTCGCAGGGAAACCAGACTCTCTGGGCGTGAGTACCTCGGAAACCCTCGACCCCACTGGCCCCATCGAAGGGGACAGCAAACGTTGCACACAGTTAGGCCGAGAATCTCTGCACTAATGGTTCCTCCTCCGCCAAGGACAACTTCTGTCCTCCCCCTCGTCCTGTCCCCGCAAAATGTCTTTGGATCACCGAGGGCCCAAGCAGAAAAGGGCCCAAACTCCGGGGATATTAGGAGATAGGACTAGGGAGAGCTGTCACCAAGTGTGCTGAAGGAAAGCAGGGGAAATGTGACAATTACCACTAACAGTTTAAACAAACAAATTAATTCAGGGCAATCTTCCGCTCTCCGAGCTTGACAACTTGTCAATACACAAATTCAACAGGTTGGCCGCTCCCTCCTGCTTCCTGCGTTCAGAGGAAGGAACTCTCCATACACGGCAGTGCATTGTGGAGCCGCCACCTGTCCGTACTGGGGCCACTGCAAAACCACAGGCACCTAGTCCGGAGGGAGGCCCCATCCCCTCCCCGCCCACTACCCCACCTCCACCGCCCCGGCCTTGGATGCCCTCACAGGCCTCAACGGGATGCATAGATGGGATTTCCTAGTCGTTGTTGCACGCCTCCTGAGGCTGGGTGTCCGAGGCGCCCAGAGGAGTCACCCTGTCTCCCCAGGCCCTTTCCTCTTCTTTTTATAGAATCAAGTTGTTCTTGTTGGTCAGTGCCGTCAAGTCGGTTCCGACTCATAGCGATCCTGTATAGGGTTTCCAAAGAGTGGCTGGTGAGCTTGAACGCTGACCTTGCGGTTCAAATGGACTTTGCAGTCTAGGGCATTAGCCCACAGAGCCACACCAGGTCTCCATAAGAAGACTCTAAAAACGCCCACCTCGGGCATGCGAACCGCATAGGCATCGTGGTACATTTGCAGGCAAGGGTACGTTTGCAAATTTCTCTCCCCAAATTTCTCAACTCCCACAACACCCTTCTGAGGATACTGTTCAGAAATGAGATCCTGAGGGGAGTCTAACAGGGGGTGGCCACGAAGAACTGTAAGAAGTGAATCAGGAGCTATTGCGCAGTCCTCTTCCCCCAACCCATAGGAGGGGGCAGACCCCAGGACCGCTGTCTTCTCGGTAGTGGTTGTTTTCTCTGTGGGCATGGGCCTTGATGTTTGGAGTTCAAGGTGGTCAGGAGAGAGCTCGTGCAGAGAAAGAGGAAGGATACGACTGACAGCCGGAGGCCAATGCCCAGCATTTGGAAGAAGTACTCGAGAGATGATTTCCATGCATAGGTCTGCCGAGTATTTTCTGTACATATAATTTACTTACTACTCAATCAACATTAGAAGAAGAAAGGGATTCACTGATTACCATCTTTGTTCATGTTGACCTCCAAACACTTCTTTAGCCGACACGCTCTGCACTGGTTTCTGTGCGTCTTATCCACAGGGCAGCCTCCCTGGAACAGAAAGCAGGCAGTCAGCGGTCCTCAGGGCCTTGGGCCGGGGAGCCAGCTCCGCGCCGGGCAGTGGGACACAGCATTCCTACCGGACCTGCCAGGCCACAGGCTCTGGAGCGGCTATACTGAGTCTGAGACACACAAGGGGCTTTGAGGGACTGTAGGACCAGCTAGAAAAGGGGCTAGGACTCTTGGGACTACTTCAAGCGGAACACCCCCATCCCACCCCCACCCTCGTCTTTTTAAACGCGGACAAAAAACCTCTGAGCAATCAGAACGCCAGACCGTACTGGAAAGGGAGTGCTCATGAGTAGGTGGTGGGGAGGGACGAGACTTTTCAGGACCGAAGACAGCGACCTCGCCCCAGCGAAGTTCTCTAAACTGAGTATCGAGCTGGCAGGTTTGCTAGTCAGGATTCCAACCGCCACAGGCCCCCATCTCCCCCAGCTTTTCTTTCTACTTTTCAGGTCTGAAATCTACCTCTTTCTGTCACTTTCCAGATGAGCTCCCATTTATTATTCACTCCCCTGTTCTTTCACTTCTGCCCCAAGCCTTAGCACTAGAAGCAATCCTTATACCCTGCATATTTGAGAGTTCGTCTTAAAGAGTAGCCTCAGCCCAGATTCATGGAAACACAAACATTCCCAGAAAGTGAAGTGGAAACCAAAGTGGTAAGGAAGACAAGCCCACAGAAGAAAAGGGTGGGAAGGGAAGACCCAGGCCCTGGGCAACATCTAGAAACATCCACCAGAAAGATAAGGTGATAGGCTGTCTGATGAAATGACATTGAGCCTATGCACTGAGAATATCAGCACCAAGCTGAAAAAAGTTAGCCACTGTCTTTAAAATATCGATCTGAGAGGCTTGAGAAATGTTTTACCAAATGCAATTTTGTGGGGAAATGCTGGCCAGTAAAAGAGGAAATGTACAGAGAAAGTTTCTTATAGGCATCATTACTGAGGGAACATAAGCATAAACACAAAGCTTGGTGTTCTCCTGCCTGTGTTTATATAAGTTGCTACAGGTGACATTAGGAGTGGGAAGAAAGAAAATAGAAGAGATCTATTTTTATTTTGCCTCACAATCTCAAAACATTTTATACACTAAAGATAATACAGGACTCCTGGTGTAGCACTGTAGGATCAGCACTGGACTGTGAACCACAAGATCAGTAGTTCAAACCCACCAACTGCTCCCTGGAAACCCTATACAGGGTTGCTATGAATTGGGACCAATTTGACAGCACTTAACAACAACAACAAAAATTATGTATATTTTCTTTTTTGGTGTATGAAATATGCTTGGGGTGGGGGAAGTGACACAATATAATGCAGTTTTTTTTTCCAGATCATACTGACTTGATTAAAGGCATAACGTAATTTATAAATGTCCTAATTATTATCCATAATAAATTAAATACTATTTACCTGATTTTAGGAGGAAATTTGAATAAAATAATTCACTTGGTCCTTATGTGATTTATTTGGGGCTTCGTCTTTGGCCAGTGTAGTAAATAGCTCAATGTAAGGAGGTTTAAATAATTTCTTCTTATTAAATGTCTGTCTGTCCTCTAATGAATGGTATAATCTCTGTACTTTGATAAACATAGTAACGCAAAATGGGAGTCTGTGTTAGTCCTTAAGTGTATCTCCAAACCAGAGCAAATGTATATAAATATCTGGAGTTTGTGAGAGAGATGAACATCTCAGCTTGGTCCATTTATTCTCTCTGCAAGGAGAGGAACACTGGGTCTGGTGAACACTTCTTCACAAGTACTTAGACTGACACCAATATATGGAATTGATGACCATGCCTTTTTATCAGGCATAACATTCCTAAGTTTATTCAATGCAAAGATTTAATAAAAGATAATTTGAGTAGCAGTCTGCTCAAATCTGATGACCCACAGTAACCCCACATTCCCATGGAGCTATTGGGTATCCCTGTGTGTCTATAGTGTGATATGTCCATATGGTGAAGCTGGACACCGATACAGAACTGTGCACCCAATGGAAAAGGTGGAAAGTTCAAAATAACTTGCCCAAATGCAAATGTCTTGCTTTTTATTGTTAATCTAAATCTATCAGAGATGGATATGAACAGGTAGGCTTCAGAAAAAAAATATCAGGATAATTCACTAGCATCAGACAATGTGTGTGTGTGTGTGTGTGTGTGTGTGTGTGTGTGTGTGTGTGTGTGAAAGAGAGATTGATTAGTGATAAGTATTTCAACATTTGGTTATCAAAGGACAATTTCTAACTAATGGACTCCCCAGCATCTGGAAGGTCTATGTCCTTGGGTAATAGAAGGACAAAGTATGGAACTCAAAGACTGGTTTCCTAAATTGAAGCAAGCCTATTACTGAGCTGGAAATGGAGTCAGGGGGTTCTGATGGATCTTTCTAGAAGTTGTGGCTCACATTCATCCCATGCCTGACTCCCCATTCTCCTTGGGGCAGTTCTGCCTGCTCAAGACCAAAAGATAACTAGAAGCGTGTGTTCTAAGCAAAGCAGGAGGAAAGAAGTGTGGGAACTTTGAGGAAAGCTCTAGTTGGACCTTCCCTGGGAGTAGTCTCTTCTTATTCACCCTGCCCTTTACTGACAAGGCCACATGTGTACTGAAATCCCATGGGCCCACTTCCAGAGCAGTCCTGCTTCTCCAGAGCTGAAACAACCCAGTCCCTCACAGAATATGACTTTCTGTTCCAAGTGGCCAACATTCACACTGGGTCTCAAACAAAGTTAACATTAACCTTGACTCAGATGCCCCTTTGCGCTGCCGTTCCCATTGGGTGATCAGGGGACTAGGCTTGGGTGCTGCCAGGCATGTGGGTGGGGAGGCTTACTACTTGTGTTTGAGATTCTAAAGCTCTTTAGGCTCCTAGGGCTGGCTTTGTAGTCACTGGGTATGAGCCTCACCTAGTGTCAAAATCTGTCAGAGGATTCAAAAAGAGGGCGTAAGGAACTGCTGCGATTTCAAACTTCCTGCAAACTGTCTTTCCTTACCTCTTCTCAACTTTCCCAGCAAAGGGGCCCCAGAAAGCTGAGTCAGGCAGGAGAAGAGGAAGTAGGAGGTAAGGGGCCGGTCCCTTCTCCTCTGCAGCACGGAAATTCAGAGGGGTCCTTGGCACAAAGGGGGGGGGGGCGGGCCACGAAACCCCTGGCTAAAGTACCTGGTTTCCAGATTTGCAGACGTAGGTTCGATTTCTTCGGATACTCCGCTTGAAAAATCCTGAACAGCCGTCGCAGGCGTAGACCCCGTAGTGTTTTCCCGAACTGCGGTCTCCACACACTTTACAGGGGATATCTAAAATGCGGCCTGAAGTTGCAGGAAAGAGAAAGGGGGGAAGGGGAGAGAAAGAGAGAGAGGAGGGCGGAGGCGAGAGAGGAAGGGGAGAGGGAGAGAGAGATGCTAAGCAATCTGACCTCTGAAGGGATTAGCACCGAAGCTGCGGTAAAAGCAAATAATGAAGTGATTTTATAGCCAAACTTTTTTTTCTTGAGCAAGTGTCAGTTTCCTACAATGAGCATTATTCATGCACCGCTACATGTATTTGGGTCTCCTCTAATCGCCGAGACCCATTTTGGAATAAAAGATTACAGCAGGCCCCGGCGGCAGCACGGCCCGCCGCGGCCTTTCTGCTCAGCGGAAAGTTTGGCCGCCTCCCTCCCCGGCTCTTGCATTTAACAGAAAAAAAGTTGTTAGTAAGCGCGCGAGGAGACAAACTTGAAATGTAAAAGGGAAAAGAAGAAAAACAAACAAGGCTGGAACCCGGAATGGCAGCTGGAAGGCAATCGAGTTTCCCCAGAGCTTCACTGGCCGTTGTGATTATTGGGATTATTATTGTAATGCTAATACTCGGATTATTAATGATAATCAGGGTACTGGTTATTTGCTCAAGGTTCACTTTACTTATTTTAAAGAAAGGCTTTCGTTTTTGAGGCATTATTTCTTTTAGGAAAAAAACTCCAAAGTGCCTAGCACCAGGACAGGCAGGAGAGAAGAGAGCGATGGGAGTGTGTAGATTCCCCAACAGGTTAACGTGGGACAGCTACCCCTATACCCTCCGCTCCCCAAGTTTGCTCACCATCAAACTTGCTTTGGAACGCCAGGTCCTGGTTTTATTAAAACAATCACCGACAACACCACTTCTTCCTCTCAGTGCCCCCTCCACTAGACGCCTGGCTTTTGAAAGGATATGCCTGGTTTCTCTAGGCGGCATCGCCGCTCTCTCCGCAGACTAGCTCAAGAGAACTTTCCCTGGAATTCTCTGACACCCACAAGTCTAGGGTGACTCCCAAGGGAGCGACTTGCAGAAAGGAGACAATTCTTTATCTCTACTGTTCAAGCGTCCAACAAGTGCTTGGGGGTGGTTTATAAGGATTTAGTAATCCTTCCTCGCGCAAACAAAGGGGCATTAGATAAAAGTATAAAGTTAATGATTTCTTTCCCCGTCACAACGGGTCCTACGGTCTCCAGGCTGGGACCCCAGACCTCGGGCCTCCCCGAAGCTAGATAGATGAGGCCTTGAACAACCGAGGGGACTGCGATTCGCCTAGGGTAACAAGGGTGAGAACCACTCGCTAGTGGCGGCGAGCGGAGCCCCAGGCGTGGAAGCTTGGAACCTGCTGCCCGACCCCCGGGCGTTGGAAGGGCGCGCGCAGGGGCTTGGGCGGCGCTGCTCAGGTTGAGGCGGGGGTCGGGGGAGGGAAAGAGCTACAGACCGGGTAGGGTGGGGTGGGGGTCGATAACGAACAGGCTCGGCCCGGGTAATTACAACCCCGCCGCGGCACCTGCCTATAGAGCCACCAGTGACCCGTCAAAAAGAGTAGCATGGGAATTCGGACGGCGACAAAGGCCGGCGGGGGAGGCGCGCGGCGCGGTGGCCACCGCCTGGGCGCCCCCTCTCCTTCTGGGCGGGAGAGGAGGTGGCTCGGGGGAGGGGGAGGAGGGAGGGCTGGTGAGAGCCCAGCGAGGCCTGGCTGATCTGGCTCTCCATTCCGTACTGAAGATAGGGGTGCGAGCTAGAATGCCCCACGCTCACTCTGCAAGCGACAAAATTGGTTTCCACAGTTGGCTGTCATCCTCCTCAGCATAACACGACCCCTGGCCTTGCTGAGGTCCAAAACTGGAGCCCTAATATACTGTTGCCCCAGCTGCCCTCTGTGGCACTTTTCATGATGCCAAGATGAACATAATGGAGAGTAGTGATTGGGTTCCTTTCCCGGCTTCTATGGGTACAAGAGGCCAAGGACACACACCTCTGGAAGACCCTGTGAGGGTGGAGGGAGAACCAGCGGAAAGTGGGGGACCCTACGCGGATCACCCACTTGGCTCCTCGACGGTCGCTTCCTGGGGTCGCTGTGGCTGCAGATAGGCTCTCCTGCCGGGACCTGAGAGCCGCGGACCCTCAGGCAAATTAGAAACAGGCCACCAGGCTGGGCGGACGCAGGAAGGAGGCATGAGAAAATGCCGGGGCACCTCGGATCTGCGTCTCCGACTCGGCCATTCGGACACGTTAATTTGACTTGGGGTCAGCAGACAAGCTAGCTGACCCCGTTGCAAAGGTCCCTTCATGCAGTAAGCCTAGCAAGCTTCGACGAGAGCTGAGCGGGTGCTTGAGGAGGCTGGAAAACCGTTCTTACCTTCCCTCGCCAGGGAGTCCCCAGGGGGCTTTTTGTGTGTCATAATTGCCTAAAGATATAAGGCAGCTTCGATTACTGTAATTACCATCAAAGATTGTTGAAAGAAGTTAGTCTGGCCTGCCGAGATGACTGGCCGGGGTCTGGTTACCACCCAGGCGGGTGACAGGGCTCTGCTTTCAGCGGTGACTAGCCGAGCGAGGAGCCGAGGCAGGCCTCGAGGCCCTGTGTGGCCTGCCCGGCCCACTGCGCTCTCGCCTCCTCTGTCCTGGGCCCCACTGGTTCCTGAGCTGCTACCAGGTGGTAGAGGGTTTGGTGCAGCGGCGCCGCGGGTGCTGGAGACCTCAGCAGCCGCGTCCGGACCTGCGCGGGAGCTGGAGTCTCCCAAGACCAAATTCAGGCTCTTAACCACTTGGAAAGCTCCAAAGTTTCCCCAATATGCCCGCTACATCTTTCCATTAAAAGTCCATGTCGTCCTGTGTCCTAGCCCATGGCGCGCAGGCACTACCCTGGCAAAGCCGGGCGTTGCGCTCACCCCTTCCCTCGCCTGCGAGGCCTCACTTTTAAGTTCCCCGACCCACAGCAGCTCTGCACCTCAAGTAAAGGAAAGAACCCGTGACTTCTTACTTCCAGGGGTGCCGGCAAAGGCCTGCCCCAGTCTGAGCAAACCAGGAGGTCCACCGAGGCCCACGGGCATCTCTTTCCGTTGGCCGTAGCTCGGAATGCAACAGGGAAGGTTTCCTTCGGCGCCTCCTGGGAAGGACAGTCACCCCCCCGGGACATGGGCCACAAAAGGCCAGCTTGTGAACTCCCCAGAGCTTCAAGCTGCAAGTGCCGGGGTAGGCCCGAGGCCAACGGGAGACACAAGTGTCCGCTCTGCGATTAGGCTGCGATGAACAGTCCTTCCCTCCTCCCTCCGCCCTAGTTAGGTACAGTTCTCTTTCTCTTTTTTGTTCATGTTCATTTAGCTCTAATCTTTAAAATGGCAGCGCCCAAACTAAAACATACGAACAAAATGAAAACACAGCCAACTTCTTTACGGGGAAAATTGGATTTCAGGTGGGATGTTCAATCAATCCTCAAAAGTATCTCGTACTCTTCCAACTTTAAAAGACTCGGGACAATAAGGGCTAGTGGACTGGGGGTAAGGTGGAGAGTACATAGAGCCTAAGACGGTGGAAAGACTCCTAGTTTGGGAGACTGCGGCAGCGACCGCCCCAGAGACTGGATCCTGGGACCTGCAACCCCCGATAGCCAGAAAGCGGCAACCGAAGTGGTACCGGAGCCCCGAGCCCTGCGGCCATGCCCTCCGTCTCTGGATCGGGCCTGCACATTCTCGGGCACCACAGGCATCCTTCACGCGAATGCCCTCGCTCACATCTGCGGCCCTGCACTCCTGCTTCAGTGGGTAAAGGGTTGAGGTCAGCCGCGGTTTGGCGTTTTGAGGGAGAGTTCTAGCAGCTAAGGAAGTTTGAGGCAAAAGAAAAGCGCGCTCAGAGAACAGGCCGCGCACTCCCGCCTCTGCCAAGCTCCCGCTCGAAAAGTATTCCGGATTAGGGATTTGGTCCGCTGTTTGCTAGAGCATTTCACCATACTTTAAATTCCCCAGTTATGACCTCCGCGGGTTTAGGATTAAAGGAAATGTGACTTTTAAATTGTTTCTACTTCCAGTTTGCAGGATTATTTGAACTAGCTAGAAACGGGGTGCAAAGCATTCCAGTCAAAATCCGCTTTGCGCAGAGCTGCTATTGCGCGCTGGAGCTCGCAGTTTTGAAACGAGTGTGTTATTGTGCTTTCTCCTGGAGCTGCAGCCCAGTTCCCTCCCCGTCGCACCCCCACCACGGCAGCTAGCGAGGAAGTGGGGGCAACTTGCGGGATTGCTGGGCTGCGAGGGTCGCCACCTTCCCAGCGCACCAGAGAGAGGGGGAAATCAAGCAATTCAGAGGTAACGAAATTGCTCTCCCCTCCACACGAATCGCTCTGATTTACTGTCTGCAAGTTGCCGGGCCAAACTGCACACTCCCCCTGGACTCCCTTTCTGGGGCTCCGAGCCGCAGTGCCCAAGGTAGGAGCTCCCCATCTCCCCACCCGCCCGTTCCAACTGCGCGCCTGGGCCCCGAGAGGTACCCACTTGTTGATCCGGCCGGCTTGCTCATGCTGGCGGTTCCGGGGCGGAGCGGTTGGTGGGCGCTGCCCGCGTCCCGACCGGCAGCGCCCGCCTCGCCAGCCGGCGTCGCCACTCTCCAGTTGCCCTCCAGCCTGCGAGGCTCCCTGAATGGACAGGTGGGTGTAGGTCGCGCACTGCGCTGCTGCTCCCCGGGCGCTCAGAATTCGTTCCACAGTGGAAATGTAAACATCCTTGAGTTTCTTCCCGGCTCTTGCAAAACTGCAGCTGTGGGGAATGTTGATATGGGCAGACGGATGGAGAGACAGGCCGACTGAGGGAGAAGGGAGGATAGCACGAGAGGGAGATTGAAGGACAGAGATGGAGACACGAAAATGATCTTCCTACGGAGCGAAAAGGGCAAAATCTCTGGCTCTTTCCATTCCTATTTCTCAGTCTTTAATCTCTCCCTTCCATAGGCATGCAGAGTGCGGCAGATCTCTGCAGATGGCCGGACTTGAAAGGAACGAACACACGACCAGGGTCTCAGAGGCCGATGGGCTCAGCGTTGCCCGAGGCAGAGCACAGAGTGGGACAACCAGATGGCCGGGAAGTCTTCTGAGGGAAGAGGCGGCGAGGTCCTGGTTTCCGGGGAGAGCCGCGCACGCAGCGGCAAAGGGTCCCCGAAGTTCATTACCCTGTGACTTTGTGCCTGTCTCTGCAAGCTGGGTCCCCTGTAATATCTCCAGAAGCGCTCTGACAGGCAGCCGCGGGGAGGGGAATAGGGCGTCCCTGGCCCACTTAGCTTTTCCCCCAACTCCTGGCGGGGTCTGACGTCAGCCATGTGCGGGGAGGGGGTGGGAAGAGGGAGGGGGTTAAATGCTAATGATATTAATGAACCTCCAAGCGGCTCCCAAAGAAAATGCAGGCGCTCTCCGAGCTGACGACTGGAGAGTGAGAATAAGTGAGCGCGTGATGGTGAGGACCATGCCGCTCTTGTAATAAAAATGAATTCTTATATTTCATGGCAAGAGGGAAGGGGAGGAGAGAATGGTCTTTTCTCAAAATGCTTTCCCCCTTCTCTCCAGAGAGCCAGACAGATAGATTCGTGGAAGAACTGGGTGGCTGTGTGTTTGTGTGTGATTGAACGCGCCGGACATAGCCATGTGAGTTGAATCATTGTTGGCCCTTCTGTTGGGTAAAACTTGCATCTGTCCCGAGGTGAGTAATGATTCATTTTGCGACTATCTACGGAAAGTTACAGCTGAAGGCTCTGTGTGCGAACTTGGGGCCTGGGAATGGGTGCTGCCGACGACTCGGCTTTCTTGTGGCCTCGGCGCGGTCCACTTGGGCACCAGCCGCTGGGAGAGAACTGCCTGCTCCCGTTACGGAGCACGAGGAGCTCCAGTGTCTCCAATATCTGCACCGGAGAGACTGGAAGGCAGAGCTTCCGTCCCTCCCGTAGCTCACCTCCAGTGGGTATCTCTGGCTGTCGCTGCCCGGGCCGAGGGACTCTGGAGAGCACCCGCCCGCCCGCCATCCCGTGATTCCTGAGCTCCCTTGCTCCGGCGTTCCTGAGCCGTGCAGGGCGAGCGCACGCCGAGGGAGCGGTGATCTCGAAGAGATTAATTCTTATTTAAGCTCCCCGGCAGCTTGAACTTGTCGAACAAGAGCTTGCCAGTCTCTCCTCAGGGAGCGGGCCAGGCCAGCGGTCAGGGGTCACACCTCCGGCTCTCCCGCGCTCTGCGGCGCGTTCGGGGGAGGGAACCCAAGCTGGCGCGCTCCTCGAACGTGCCTCCCACCCCTGGTCCTGCTCTCTCTTTAGACTCGGCGTCACCCTCACCCGGGCTGACTGTTCGAGGGTGCGTGCGTGCCAGGGAGTTCAGGTTTTTTCCCCCAGGGCCCTCCTCAGCCGACGTACGAGGGCAAGCAGGCAGCACGTGACAGCAACTTCGCAGCCCTGGCTCCGCCAGGGACCCGAACCGCTCACTGGGCCGCTTCCCATCCCTATCCCCACCTCCCAGCCTAGTCCTCTGTACTGCGGCACCGCGACCCCGACACAGGGTTGGCGGACGCTGGGTCCACTAAGGAGGGGAACGACTATTTACCAAAGTACCCTGCGCTCCCGATTTTCCGGATTGGGACGCAATTAAGGAATTGTGAAACAAAGCCATATGCCTAAAGGTTCTTTTAGGAGTCGCGACGGGAAATCAACATTGTTGACAGCCAACCAGGGTAGACGCGTGCGCTTTGAGCCTGGCGCGCGCCGTAGCGCAAACTTGAACTCCGCGCCCAGAAAAAGAAAGGGGTTCTGGGTGGGCGATTACATTGCCAGGGTCCATTTTGGTCCCTAGAATTCTAGCTCTCGCCAGAAATCCACTTTCCTCCTCCTTCATCACCACCACAGCCGAAGATGGGCACGGGAAGCGGGGGTGGGGGATCTTGATTAATTACAGAGAATTTCAAGAGTTGAAGTAATGTATCTCGGCCAGAACAGGGGACTGGACCTTGACCTTTCTCGAGAGGAAGAGTTTAGTGGGCCATTGGCAAGGCAGGGGCTTGGAGGTAGAAGGAATATGGCTCTGGGCTCCAAACTACTCCTGTTTCCTACTCATCAACCACCCCTTCCCACTGGCTTATTTGTAGGCACCAAAATTTCGGGGAAATTCTCCTGAGGGTCATCGAATAGTCTCAAAATCAAAATGGGAATGCCCTCTTTTCCTACTTTCACTAGCCCTTAATGAAGTGTCCACAGAGTAGATACAGACACCATTCTGATCTGGCAAGAGGCTCACACACACACACACACACACACACACACACACACACACGCGCGCGTGCACTCAGCATGTGCGTCCTGTGTTCTGCACGCCCAGCTGTAATTATCCGCATGCTTTGCATAAATCACAATGCAGTTCTGAAATCCTCATGATGACTTTCTGGCATGATTGGTTCGATGGCAACAGCAGAAACAAGCCGATAGGTGGGAGGGACTGGAGCCGGGTCTCCTACCAGGTTCGGGAGGATCCTGGAGTGCAAGTGGCTGATGACTCTGACAAGGTAAAGCTGCTGCAGGCCACCGGGGCTTCAGATCTGTGGACACTTGGGGTTTTGTGGTCACATCTTAGAGAAGAAAGCATCTTGAGGCCAAGGACAGTGAGTTTTCATCTTCTTATCCGCTGGCCCAGATTCACAATAGGTGCTCAAGAAATGTGCAAACGGGAGCAAAGTCACCTCCAAATTTCCCAAGAAGCCTCCGAAGGCACAGCTAACCACTGAAGCACTAGGAGATGGAGGTGGACTAAGTCTTAGATTATATCATTCAAGCTCTATCCTTGTAACCTTGGGCAAGTGACTAGAGTTTTCTAGGCTCTGGAAAAGATTAGTCACTTGCCTATAAAACAGCAGGATCATTTCCAAAACTAACTGTCAGTGATCTATTTCCTTGTAAGGAAATGATTGATAAAGGGCAAATACCCCACCCCACCCCACCAATCAGATGTTTAAACTTCTTCTCAAAGACTATTCTACCTTGAGAAATTCATCCCTTTGAGATGTCCTTTACCTCACTGACATGCAGAGGTGAGAAATACCCACACCAGAGAAATATCCACACTAGAAAAATTTGCCAGTTGAGCTTGACTGAGGTTTGATGCACAGTATCCAAAAGATATTCGGATGCAAGTGTTGTTATTATTGTTTGTTTATATAAAGAATAAAGTTGATTTTCATTTGCTTTCAAGTTACAATTCAAGCCATGGTGTTGCTTGTCCAATGGATATGAGTGATGGAGCAAAGTGTCTAGTACATAATAGGGGCTCCGGAGGAGCTTGTTAAGTAACAGAATAAAATAAACTGTTGTCACACTTATTCCTCATTCTACTTTAGGCCTCTTTACACATTGTTTGGCTCCTCCTGTTCAGGAAGGAAACACTGAGAACAATCCAGAAGAGACCCAGGTTTTCTAGAACCCAATGGGTGCTGAGTTGTGGATTTTTTTCTCCACACTTCCCAGGAATACATTGTCTAGGAGTGTCTGTTACTTGCCACAAGGATAGATGAATACTACAAACAACAACAGCAATAAGACAATGCTGTGTGAAAATGTTCTTTTGTTTTTTTAAACAAATAACAAATCATGTCTGTGCATTTATTCATTCTCTTGTTCATTTGCATTCTAGGATCAGGCTGACTTAGAGACTTTCAAGTTCTACTGTATCTTGATGCTCTTCTTGCCCCAAGAAAAATCTTTTTCTTCATCTTTTACCCTATTTGGTATATATATATATAACTTATGCCCTGCCTTGTTCAAGAAAGAATTTACTCTGGTTTTCATACCAAATGGGAGTGCAGTGGCTCCATACAGTAAGCACTGGACTGCAAACCACAAGGTAGAAGGTTTGAGCCCACCAGCCGGAGAAAGATGAGGGTTTCTGTTCCTGCAAATATTTAAAGCCTTGGAAACACTAAACAGGATTGCTATGAGTCGGAACTGACTCGGCAGCTCTAAACAACAACAATTCATATCAAATTGCTTTAATTTGGGACCTGAGATGTATTTAAAACAAAAGCAACCAGAGTGATTACCAAGAACAAGGGAACAGGAAAATAATGCAGTCTCTTCTTTCCTCAGGTAGAAAGGCTGCCTGTTTCTGATTTCCTTAGTGACAAGAGTTCGGAGGAGATACAAGGACTACTCAGCCCTCTAGACAAGGAACTCCTAGAGGGCAGAGATTCATCTTTGGATCACTAGACTCTGACACATCCAACTCCACTGCTGTGGATTTGATTCTGACTCAAAGCCACCTTATATGGCGAAGCAGAATTGCCCTATAGAGTTTCCAAGGCTGTAATCTTTATGGAAGAAGACTGTCCCATCTTCTCTCTTACAGAGCAGCTGGTGGGTTTGAACCACTAACCTATTGATTAGCAGATCAGTGTTTAACCAATGCACCATCAAGTTCCTCTCTGGCACATTGTGGTGTTTTATGAATGTGGCTCTATGAGTGCATCTGCCTGATGGTACTTAACAATAAAAGCTTGAGGCTTAGATGGGTAGTGGAGGGAGATAGACAGCAGGGAGCAGAAACAGGTCCTCTAGCTCTCTAAACCTTGAGAAGCAGCACGTGCCATTTTTGTTTTTCAAAATTGAAAGAATGGCTAGAGAACCAAGAAAGCAGACTACACCCTGAGGGAGATTGACCTCCAGGTAGTTTCTGAATTCCCTGCTGAATAACAGTCTGACTTGGCTTCCATTTAGCCTAGAATCAGAAAGCATACGAGTCATGTGGTTGTTGTTGATGTTAGGTGCCATAGAGTTGGTTCCAACATAGCAACCCCTATGCACAACAGAACGAAAGACTGTCCGGTCCTGCACCATGATCACAGTTGTTGTTAAGCTTGAGCACTTTGCTGCTGCTACTGTGCCAATCTGTCTTGTTGGGGTCTACCTCTATTTTGCTGACCCTCCACTTTATCAAGCATGGTATCATTCTCCAAGAATTGGTCGCTCCTGATAATATGCCCGAAGTATGAGAGACGAAGTCTGGCCATCCTGGCTTCTAAGGAGCATTCTGGCTGTACTTCTTCCAACACAGATTTGTTTGTTCTGGCAGTTCATGGTACTTTTAATATTCTTCTCCAACACCATAACTCAAATATATAAATTCTTCTATGATCTTCCTTATTTATTGCCCAACTTTCACATGCATATGAGGCATTAAAGGTGCGCCTGACCATGGCTTGGG